GGCCAAGTGGTTGTTCTCCAGATTTCTTGGCACAACTTGGTGGAGGGCAGCATCTGTTAGCTGAAAGATGTCAATTGGTATACCATCTGTTCCTGGAGCCTTATTTTTTGCCATTTCCTTCAAAGCAGCCTGCACTTCTTCTTTCATCACCATAGGCTCTTGCTCATATATTGTTTTATGAAATTCTTCTGTGTCTTCCAATTCCTTTCATATTCTTTCCATCTTCTTTTAATACTTCCTGGATCATTTAACATTCTGCCGAGAGCATCCTTGATTATCACAAGTTGAGGTTTGAATTTGTTCTTCAGTTCCTTGAGCTTAAGATATGCTGAGCGAGTTCGGCCCTTTTGATTTTCTGACTCCAACTCCTTGTACATTTCACATAGCTTGTGCTTATTGCATGCACACTTTCTTCCCAGGTCTTCAGCTGAATGTGGCTTTGTATGCAGGCTTGTCACTCACATGTGCCCCTATAAAGACAGCTGATGTCTGACTCTAAGTGAGTATTTTAAGATAAAAGGATACTTAGCTTGTAATGAGTGAATTTCTTATAAAGAGAATTGAAGGAAATAATTTCCAGAGAGAAGGGAAGTGGGAAGATCATTGAAAAGGTTGTCCTTACTAACTTCTTAGCCCTGTCCAAATGATGTTGCCACTTCCTCTTTACAGTCTCCTTGTTTTTCTCAGACTAATTCTTGTTGTTATGTACCATCAAGTCGCTTGCAACTCATAGCGACCTTATGTACAACAGCCCTAAATCCCGTTCTATCCCTTGCCAATCTTATTATCTCCAACATGCCCATTCCCATTACCCCAGTGACTGAATTGATCCATCTCATCAAGGGTCTTCCTCTTCTGCACTGTCCCTCCTCTCTCCCAAGCATGACATCCTTCTCCAAGGACCAATCCCACCTTGCAACATGACCAGAGTATGTTAGATGGAACTTCACAATCCTTTCCTCCAAGGACAAGCCTGGCTTCACCCTCTCCAGGATAAACTTGTTTGTTCTCCTAGCAGTCCATGGTATATTCAATACTCTTCTATCACACCAAAGCACAAAGGCATCAACTCTCCTTCTATCATCCCTCATCATTGTCAAGCACTCTGATGCATAGCAAGTAATTGCAAAGACCATGGCCTATATCAGGCGCACCTTAGTCTCCAGACTGACATCTTTGCTCTTCAGTACTTTGTGTCTCTGACAGCAGACTTTCCCAGTGCAATTCATCTTATAATTTCCTGGCCAAGCAAACTGAAGCTGTCAGTATTCTCAATCTCTTCATCATCCATCACGATGATGCCACTTGGTCCAGTGGTGAAAATCTTTGTTTTCTTGGCATTAAACTTCAATCCATATTGAAGGCTGCAGTGTTTGACCTTCTGCAGCAAGTGCAAATGTGCCCAAAGTGAATGAGATGAAGTTTCACCATCCTTGTCTCTAAGGAGCATTGTGGTTGCACTTCCTTCAAGACAGATTTGTTCTTTTGGCAGACCAAGCTTTATTCGATACATTTCACCAGCTCCAAAATCATCAATTCTTCTTCTGTCATACCTTTTCAAACCATATCATTCAGGAGTCTGGGTTTTCTGAAGAGGAATGTGGCATCAACAGCCTACATTATGCAGATGACACAACCCTGCTTGCTGAAACTGAGGAAGATCTGAAGCACTTGCTGCAGAAGGTCAAGGACGTAGTCTTCAATATGGATTGAAGCTCAACATCAAGAAAACAAAGATTCTCACCACTGGGCCAAATGACAGCACTGTGATGGATGGAGAAGAGATTGACGTCGTTAACAATTACAGCTTGCAAAACAAAAAACCCAAACAATTACAGCTTGCTTGGCTCTATATAATCAACACTCTGGACACCAGCAGTGAGGAAATCAAAAGACAAATTGCTTTGGGGGTAACTCTGCTTTCAGGGATGTTTCCAGAGTACTGAGAAGCAACAGTGTTAGTCTAGAGACTAAGGTGCGCCTGATTCAGGCCGCAGTCTTTACAATTATAGAGCTGGACAATGACTAAGGATGACAGAAGAAGAATTGATGCCTTTGAGTTGTGGTGCTGGAGAAGACTCTTGAACATACTGCCAACATGGACCATCAAGGAAACAATAGATCTGTCTTGGTAAAGGTGAAACCAAGTTTCTCCTTGGAGGCTAGGATTTTGAAGCTCTGTCTCACATGCTTTGGACCAGGAGGGACCCATCCTTGGAGAAGGACATCATGCTCAGAACTGTGGAGGGACAGCATAGGAGAGGAGACCCCAGATGACATGGATTGATATAGTAACTGGGGCAATGGTAATTAGTGTGCCAGAGTCAGTCAGTGAGACTGGCTTAGGACAGCACAGGCTTCAGAGCTGTTGTACTCTATGAGTTGCAGATGACTTGACAGTACATAAAACAACAATGGTCATCCTTACTTATTGTTTAACTTTCAGATGCATAGAAAGCAGTTGGAAATAGGCTTGGATCCATTGCACCTTAATTTTAAACTGACACTGATAGTCTTTAGCACTTTGGAGAGGTCCTTGACAGCAGATTTTCCTAATGCAGCACTTTTCAATTTCTTGACTACTGCTACCATGGGTTTTGATTGTGAATCCCAGTAAAATTAAACCATTGACAACATCAGTCCTTTCTCCATCCATCATAATGCCGCCTTTTGGCCCAGTAGTGATTATTTTGTTTTCTTGATGTTGAGAAGCAACTTATATTAAAGGTTATAGTCTTTGCTTTTCTGTAGGCTGTCAAGTACTCATATGCAAGTTCAAATTAAAGGAGACAAAATTAAGTCCATGAGAACTAAAATATAACTTTGAACGTATCCCAACTGAATTTAT